TTGCAGCGCCTGCACACCGGGTTCTAGTCCCGGTTGGGGCGCCGGATTCTGGCCCGGTTGCCCCTCTTCCAGGCCAGCTCTCTGCTGTGGCCAGGGAGTGCAGTGGAGGATGGCCCAAGTGCTTGGGCCCTGCACCCCATGGGAGACCAGGAGAAGCACCTGGCTCCTGGCTTCAGATCAGCGTGGTGCGCCGGCCGCAGCACGCCAGCCGCGGCGGCAATTGGAGGGTGAACCAACGGCAAAGGAAGACCTTTCTCTCTGTCTCTCTCTCTCACTGTCCACTCTGCCTGTCCAAAAAAAAAAAGAGTTATGAATGTGTGCACAACTAAAAGACAGTATGTTTCTAAAAGTATCCTGATTTATAACCTCACTTTGTCATTTTCCTGGCAAACTTTACTACTTAAATATTGTGTTCATGAATCCTGACCATTGGATTGGTTTTCAACAAAGAAAAGGAATCTGATTTGTAGATTCATTGGCCACCTAATTTATGGAAAAAGGAGGTGAGCATGGATTTTATTTGCTTGAATGTATCATATAGATGAAAATAGCAGATATGCTTAGAAATCAGGCCAAAAGATGAATATTTGGGGTGAAGAACATAGGTATGCTATTTTCTTTCTTATGATAAAATAACCTTTGGAAGCCCAGGTCCAGAATTACATATACATTTCAGAGTTTAAACAAAGTCCTTTTGAGTTTACATGCTTTCAGCAAAACAAAAAACAATCAATGTTTAATAAGCTATTGAGAAGTCGTTCATCACCTGAGGATGAGTTCCATTTAATGTTGAATAGTGTTAGGAAGGAGAAAAATAATTATATTGCTTTGTTAAAAGAAAATTAACAGTTTTATGGCATCTCAAGTGTCTCTTAGTTCTGAAGAGCTTGCCGAAACAAGTACACAAAGCTTCTGGTATAATAGAAACATATTTAAAAGATAGTATTTTTGCCTTTTCATGTATGAAAGAGTCTAGGGATTGTTCCAATATGATGAAGACCATGCTAAAGGGAGTGAAAGCAATTATACAAAATGGAGCAAATCTTTTCCATTTGGTTCTTCAGTCAAAACTTCGAGATGATAGCTTTCAGATCGTAGATGCTTATGGAAATAAAGTATTTTCCTACAGACTTTATGGTCTCTTAAATCTTTCCAGCTACTAAATTGGCAAGAAGTGCTTTCCCGTATTTTTATTTATCTTTACAATTTTCCATATAGCCATAGTACCTTAATTATTCATCAGCTAAACACAATTTTCAAATGAAACCATCAGGCATGCTTTGTCAGGCTGTAAATATTCTTTGTTAAAATGCTTTCTTTTTTTTTTCTATAGAAACTGCACATTGTAGGTAGCAGAAACATATACCTTTTGTCACAAGAGCCTTTTATTCCATCGTGTGAATTGAACTACATTTCCCCCTGGTTTTAATTGAGAGCTTTTCCCACTGCAAGCGTTTAGTCCCTTAGTAACTGTCAAACTATTTACACCTGAAAAACTAAACCCACCCACCTGTGATTTACTGTCAGATTTATTCTTTAACGGTCAAGCGCAGCATGTGTCTCATCCCACGTTTTGCTGACTTCTCAGGGCAGGTACAAATGCAAACAAACCGTATGCATGTGGTCCAGTGTGTTCCACAGGAGAGGAGGTGACCAAAAGCATTGCCTTGAGCGGGCGGCATATAACCAACAGGTGCTTGATGAAAATGGAGTAAAAGCCAAGCAAAGGGGACAACACAGGTTTGCAGCCCTTGCTGGAGCCACTTGCCACCTTAACAGGAGCATTCACCCATTTGTCAAATGCCCACCTTAGAGGTACTGAGCTGGGAGCTTTGCACTCTTTGTCTAAATAAATCTGTAGAACAGCTGTGTTGGGGAGATGGCATCTTCTTCTCTTTATATGTTAATACTTAGCTTCAGGGGAGTGAAGCAATTTGCCTGAGATCATAAAGCCCGTGAGCATAAGTCCAGATAATAAACCCATGAACACTTGCTTCTGAATGCTGTGTGTTTTCATTATTGCTGTTACATGAAAGACCAGGCTGGGGCCTGGGGAGTAGGCAAAGGAGAGACAGGAGCTAGGAAACCAGGTGGGGGAAAACTCTTCCAATACACAAGCTTCATGAAGCCTGGGATCTAGAATATTGCCTGACGTATGGGTACCTGACAAATGCTTTTTCTCTGGCTAAGGGGAAGAGAGAACGAAGGCTGTTTTAAATGAGAGTTGCTGAATATGAGATGGGCTGAATGAAGAGGCATATTTTCTGTGCGTGTCTACGGTAGGCAGTCCATGATTGTTCAGATCAGTTCTTCTCAATCCTTCGAGATCTCATTAAGATATTTGGATTCAGGAGATGTGGGATAGGGCCCGGATTCTGCATCTGTAGTAAGTTTTTGGATCTGTAGAAGATGTTGGGCATCAACAACAGTGCAGTGTATTCAGATGGAACCTGGGTGAGCAGTTTTCCTTTATTTCAGTTCCCTGAGTTTCCATAACTCTAGACCTTTCGGATAAATAACATGTGGGACGGCTGGTAAGTCCTCATGGTTCAACTTTAAAACTCTTACTGTAGAATCAGAGTCAGAATAGGAAAAAATGACCCAAGATGTTCATCCAAATGGCTTTCCCTGGAAAAGAGCAAACCAAGCATAAACCTACAGCAGCAATCTGCCACAAATGAGAAAGAGGTTACAGATTTTTGTATTTCTTTCTAATTCCATTCTTCTAAGTTCAAAAGAAAAGAAGGCCTCATGTTTTCCTCTGAACTGCATTTCCCTCTCTCCTTAGAATTGTTGTTTTAGACTTGGGAAACTTATATGTGAATAAAAGAAGAAAGATGAAAGATGCTTGATTTTTAAAAGGAGCAAAGAAGTACCACTTTGAGCAGTAGGGACTAAACTTACGAGCTTACCTATTTCCTTTACAGTATACCCCAATCATTAAGACTTTATTATGCAGTATCTCAGATACAGAAAATATTATAGACATACAATTAAGTGTAATAATGAATATTCAGATAGCCTCTTCTTAGTTTAAGAAATCAAACCAAAAATGATACATTTTCCAGTGTGGTCTCCATAAACACATCCACCCTCTCTCCATAGGAACTTATCCATATGTTTCAAAATACATTCACTACATCCTTAAAATTACTTTCTGTATTTTAAAACTTCATAAAATGGCACCAAACTAATTTTTAAATTTGTTTTTTATTTACCATTTTTAAGAGATTTCTGTTGAGTGCATCTATTTTTACAGTTGTATAATGTTCCATTTAACTTCATGCACTTACATTTAAGATGATGTTTTTATCTTTTTAAATGCTTTCACATTATATAATATGTGCAGGCTACATATTTTACATATTCATAAGAATTTTTAGATGGCCCATGGCATTAATGGAGTTAGAATTCAAATGAGTGTACTCCTGGTCCACAAATTAATAGCTGGGGACAGTTCACAACTCACACAACTGGTTTATCAAAGTCTTCATCTGTAAAGTGGACAGTTGTTTAGGAGGTGAGTGCTTTCATTTATGCAGTGATGTATTCTTGAGATTGTAGGATTAGAGAAGTGGGCATAGGACACAGTGGTTAAACTGCCTCTTGTGATACCCATGCCACCTATTGGAATGACTGCGTTTGAGTCCCAACTCTGCTCTGATTGCAGTTTCTTCCAGCTTGCGCCTTGGGAGGTGGCATGTGATGCCTCAGTAGTTGGTTGGGTCTCTGCCACTCTGTGAGAGACACAGATTGACTTCCAGGCTCCTGGCTTTGACCATTCGCATCCCCAGCTGTCGTCATTGGTGGGAGTGTAGCAGTGGATTGGAGTTCATTCTTCTCTTTGTGTGTGTTGTCTCTCTCTCTCTCTCTCTCTCTCTCTCTCTCTCTCTCTCTCTTTTTCTTCCTTTCAAAGTAATAAAACTTAAATGAAATCTCGCCTTTAAAATAAAAAAGAGTAAGTCTACTTTGATGTGTCAAGCGTACTGACTGTTTAAAAACTTTTGTTTTTTAACTTGAAAAGCCAGCTTCTTTGTTCTTTCTTTCTTCTGGCTTCCCATGGTTAAATATGGCTCTAGGGTTACTGCCCTGACTTTTTCAGACCCCCTAGGTGGTGGTTAGAGCCCTGTACCACAGTGTACCATTTTGTAAATAGCACTGTGATTGCTCTGAAAAGTGCAGAATGCCTCAGGGACAGATATTTACCCAGACAAATTGAAATGGATAGTTGAGCACTTATCCAATTAATTTATTAAATGTGCCCAGTCAGTCTGGATAAATCACAGAAATGCACTCTTTCCCTCTTCATCGTCAGCGTGAGATTGGCCTGAAGTATCTGAGATAATTACCTCAACTTTCGCCTTCATCTTTGGTTGTGCAGACATAGCCTAATTTTTCCCTTGGTGAACAAACAAAATTATTTGCGCCTCTTCAGAAAGTCTTTAAAAATCTTTAACTTCTAGATGCTCCTCTGTTGTACTTTCTTCTGTACTTTAACATTTTTTGGATGAATATGTGGGCACATTTTATCTTCCATTTATGTAACTGTTTGAATAATATATATATATACATATATATATCCTTTCATTTATAAGAGATTATGTTGTGTTATTTATTTTGTTTTTTAAACAATTGTACTTTAAAAGTTTATTTATAAGGCAGAGAGGAAGAGAGTGAGCCTCATCCACTGCTCCCCAAAAGCCTGCAACAGCTGAGGCTGGGCCAGGCACTAGGAAGTCCATGTGGGACTCCCATGTGGGTGGCAGGGACCCAAATACCTGAGCTATGACCTCCCTGGCAGGAAGGTCATGACCTCCCTGGGTGCTCATTAGCGGGAAGCTGGAATTGAAAGTAGAGTCAGGACTCAAATCCAGGTACTCTGATGTAGGATACAGGGTACCATGCAGTATCTTAATTGCTAAGCCCAGCTCCACCCTTCTCGTGTATTCTTTAAATTTACACATACTCAGAATGGGAAAACTTTGACATTTGTTTTACAGATGGCAGCTGAATGGAAGTGATATTGATATGAGTATGGAACATCGTTATAAGCTGAATGGAGGAAATCTTGTGGTTATTAACCCCAACAGAAACTGGGATACAGGAAGCTACCAGTGCTTTGCAACAAACTCACTTGGAACAATTGTCAGCAGAGAAGCTAAACTCCAGTTTGCCTGTAAGTTTATGTTCATACCTTTAGCAAAATCAGCATTTTAAAATATATCACTTGTTTTGTCATTTTTTATTTCAGAAAAATACATGGATTTTATTAATTCAATAAATATGTTTAGAAAACAATTCAATATGATTTTTGGACCTGGGTATAATGAACAAACCAGAAATTTAAAAGTGCATACATTCATGTGTGTGTGTGCTGTTTTACTGTTATGTAAGGTTTCCATTTACTGACAAAGAACCAGTTTTTATTAAGTAGCTATTCTGTGCTTTGCACTGAGCTAGAACTGAAAAGAACGTGAAAGAATTGTCAGACATGGTCTTTGCTCTTAAAGAACATTTAAATCAGAGAATTACATCTGACAAACATGAATGTATTGAAAAAGAAACACAGTGAGCAGAAGAAGAAGGTAACGCACGTGGCGACAGAGTGTTGACCTCCTTGGGGTGCTGTACCTAACAGATGACCTTCAGCGCAGCCTCCGCTGAGGCCTGGGCCCGGGAGCCGTGTTTGTCAGGGTAATTGGACGTGGGTGAACACATGCCCAGAAAGAATCACTTTCTTTCTCCAGGGCATTTGGGATTGGAACCAGAGCCCAGCTTAGTTTTTACCGATGCCTGTTTTCTGCTTTAGTTTCTTTCTGTTACCCTCTGTCCCTTTGTTTTTGCTGTACATTTTGTGTATAAGCATGCTTTGGGTCCTTGGTTCTAAGATTCTTCTTAGCTCTTGATACCTCACTAATTCAGTATTTGCAGTGTATATGGTCTTATGATGTGGTAGGATTCTGTCTCTGCTCCCTCATAAACTCTTTTTTTTTAAGATTTATTTATTTTATTTGAAAGTCAGAGTTACACGGAGAGAGGAGAGGCAGAGAGAGAGAGAGAGAAAGAGAGAGAGGTCTTCCATCTGCTGGTCACTCCCCAATTGGCCTCAACGGCCAGAACTGGCCGATCTGAAGCCAGGAGCCAGGAGCCAGAAGGTTCTTCTGGCTCTCCCATGCAGGTGCAGGGGCCCAAGGATGGGGGCCATCTTCTGCTGATTTCCCAGGCCATAGCAGAGAGTCGGATCAGAAGTGGAGCAGCAGGGACTAGAACCGGCACCCATATGGGATGCTGGCGCTTCAGGCCAGGGTCTTAACCCAGTGTGCCACAGTGCCAGCCCCTCTTCATAAACTCTTATTAAATTAGTGGTGTGTCATTAATGCAGAGCTTATTTATTTTTTGTTTTTCCAAGGGCAGCAGTTGGCTTTGCTCCTGCCTTGGTTTTCTTCATGTTCTGCTTTCCTATTTACTTGATCTTTTTCTGTTTTCTTTTTCACCCTGTATGCATAGTATTTTTTTTACTTGTGCTTTCTTTGTTTATTTTGGAAGCTGTATGTTTACATGACACAATTAATTCCCTTAGTTTTACTAAAGCACTTTTTGTATATTTCTCAAGTAGAATTTAAAATTATTTTTTCAGAGTCCATCTTTTTTTTTTTTTTTTTCTTGACAGGTAGCGTTAGACAGTGAGAGAGAGAGAGAGAGAGAGAGAGAGAGAAAGGTCTTCCTTTTCCGTTGGTTCAGCCCCTAAATGGCTGCTATGGCCAGCGCGCTGCGCTGATCCGAAGCCAGGAGCCAGGTGCTTCTCCTGGTCTTCCATGCGGGTGCAGGGCCCAAGCACTTGGGCCATCCTCCACTGCCTTCCTGTGCCACAGCAGAGAGCTGGACTGGAAGAGCAGCAACCGGGACAGAACCCGGCGCCCCAACCAGGACTAGAACCTGGGGTGCTGGCGCCACAGGCAGAGGATTAGCCTAGTGAGCCGCGGCACTGGCGAATCCATCTAGTTTAAGCAGTGAATTTAGTTCATTTTTACCCCTTGTGAATACCTTGCAGTTTTTGGTATTATTTCCAAACTTATTCATTTAAGTTGTTATGGTAGCATTTTAATATGCATATTATATATATACAAATTATGTATTAATGCATATATATTGATATACAGTAAATATATGTATACACAGACACATATATACAAATATATGTAAATTTTTGTCCTCATGGACAGTTGAGTATGTGAATATACTTTTTGACCAAAATGTTGCTAAAACCGTGGTGTATCTGTATTTTACCTGGCTTTCACATCAGGTACCGACCTCTTCCTGTTCTTTCTGTTGTTGTTAATTTCTCAGTTTATTTTAAAACATTTTTAGCATGTGATATGTTGCATTATAAAAGTGCAACATGTTTTGTGTGGTTGCATTTATAGAATGTCATTATATTGGTTCAAGTATGCAAATGCTTCTGGTTAGTATACATTTCGAGTCTCAAAACTGTCTGCAGAGAACTCTGAGTGCTGTGCTATGTTGTCTTCTAATGTTAGTGCTGCTAAAATTAAGTCTGTGACGCAACTAAATTCTGCTTCCTGGGAGTTCTCCACCACCCCTGTATTTTGGGATTCACTTGGTTGTATATTGGAGATTTTTCCCCTTTTCCTTTCTAGTTTAAATCTTACATATTTCCAGCAAATTGCTAAGTTTAGATATATTGTAATTTACTTTGCTTGTACCTTAAAATATTCTCTCATAATATGTAGACAATATCATATATAATTCAGGGGAATTTCTCTTTTAGTTTTATGTTATATATTAATATTTTAAAAAGACACTGACTATTTATTGGATTTCGTGTGTGTTTGTATGGTATTTCTTGAAATTCGCTTCATCTCAGCCTGTTCGTTCCTATGAATCTTTTGAAGATACAGTCAGTTTTCTGAAATGTTATTTTCCATCTCAGAGGCAGGCTTCCCTCCACTACTTTCATTTGGTGTTTCCATTTTTATCCTGACACATTTTCAATAGGTTCCAAAATGAATTGTGCCCAAACCTGGCATTTGTCAACAGATGGTGGTGGTGGACTGCCCTGGCCCTTCTTGCTTTGTTTTGTGCAGCTATCAGTGTCTCCTCTGATCTATAGGAAGAGATGTAGTTCCCAGACTCATTCCCTGTTTCCAGGTGTCTTTTAGCAAAAATGTCACTCCTTTCATGTAGTGATCCTTTGCTACGACAGATTCTTCCTACCCTGTACTATGGGCAGCAGTGTCATTGCATTACATGATTTTCCTTAACCAGCCCCTCCTGGAGAGTATTGTATGGAAAATGCTTCCAAACTTATTTTGCAGCCCTTCTAGACTGCCCCCCTTGTTCCTGGCCAGTGCTTTATAAGCAGAGTGGGACACCATTGTTGGGTCAGCAGTGGGATTTCACTCTTTATGACTCTAAGAACAGCCAGCAGTAAGAATGTGAGCATGTTTGATTCAATTCCCCTTGGGCCCAAGTCCCACAGGGAGATGGATATGAGCAGAATGATGCTGCAGCCAACGCCGAGGAGTGCCAAGACTGGAGGTGCTGTGTCTCTTAGATTAAACAGTAAGGAAGCCTGGTCTTTTGTCTTCAAGGGAGACATGACTTTATCCCAGGAGGCTGCTCCCTGTGAACGCATCTCACACAAGAAACGGGCCCATAAAGAGCCGTTGGACTTCATGTTCTTGGCACAGCCAGGAATAGTTGCAAGGGAGCTTAGAGCCCACAGTGGATCCCTCTCCCAGCAAAAGTCATTTTCTTTGCTTAATACCATCTTTGAGTATCTGATTTAGTGTGCACTCTATCAAGAGTATAAGAGAGTTGTGGCTATGGAAGTACAAGATGTTTTCCTATCTTTATTGTGATTTACTTCTCAAAAAAAAAAAAAAACAAACTCAAAATCACCATTTATTCCCTTGATTTTAAAACCTCAATCTGGGCCTGTGCCGCGGCTCAATAGGGTAATCCTCTGCCTGCAGCGCCGGGACACCAGGTTCTAGTCCCGGTCGGGGCGCCGGATTCTGTCCCGGTTGCCCCTCTTCCAGGCCAGCTCTCTGCTCTGGCCCGGGAGTGCAGTGGAGGATGGCCCAAGTCCTTGGGCCCTGCACCTGCATGGGAGACCAGGAGAAACACCTGGCTCCTGGCTTCGGATCAGCGTGGTGCACTGGCCGTGGCAGCCATTGGAGGGTGAACCAACGGTAAAAGGAAGGAAGACCTTTCTCTCTGTCCCGCTCTCACTGTCCACTCTGCCTGGCAAAAAATAAATAAATAAATAAAAATTAAAAAAAAAAAACCTCAATCTGTTTTTATCTGCTTTGTAAGTTTTGATTCTTCCTATACTGAGCATTAGGTTGCTTAGCAGTGCTAGTGTACAGTAAGATAATTTGGTTTTATGTGTTTTATTTACTTTTTTTGGTATTTTCCTAAGTGTCCTAAGTGTTTTATTTAGAAATTTCAAGAGACAACATTGAACATTCTTAGCCTGATATCATGTTGGACTGGAAAGGTACAGATTTTTTTTTTAGGTCTTTTAAATTTATTTGAAAGGCAGAGATAGGTACAGAGAAAGACTGAAAGGGACTAATGGAGATTTTCCTTCAGATGCAGAAAGACAGATTTTCCATATACTGGTTCATTTCCCAAAGGCCTGGGACAGCTGGAGCTGAGCCAGCTTGAAGCTGGGAGCCAGGAACTCAATCTGGGTTTCTCCTGTGGGTGGCAGGGACCTGAGCATTTGACCCATCACCTGTTGCCTCTCAGAGTATACATTAGCAGGAAGCTGTAATCAGAATCAGAGTTGGTTCTGGGGCTCAGGGACTGGAACCCTAATATGAGATATGGGCAGGCCAAGTGAGATCTTAATTGCTGCACCAAGCACCTGCCCCCAAATGTTTTTTTTTTTTTTTTAATTCTTATGTTGAGATATTGATTTCTGTTTGATGGAACCAAAGAAATTAGCAAGAGTAGAATATATTTAATAATTATTAAACATGGCTTTCACTTGGTAACTTTGAAGGAATTTAATATGGAAAGAAAGGATCGGGATAGGGACCCTTATTTTGAGAGGATGCTCATGACTCCAGTTCGAAGGAATCATTATCTTTCCTACAGGCACAAAGATGGCTAAGAATTGTCACTGAAAATGTTCTCTCTGATTTT